CATTACGCTCTAAATTTGTGTAGCCATGATGAATGCCCGTTTGAAACCACGTGGCTCTGCAAACTCTATAGCTGAGAGTCATATTCGGCGCCTTATCTGCATCCTTCCAAACCCGACGCTCGTAAGTTTGAGCTCAGCGTGCAAACCCAACCGTCTCTCGCCTACAATAGTGTCACTTTTAAAAGTAAGGCGATGCTTCCGGTGAACGAGAAAACTGTTACTGCAGGAATCAAACGTTTCGGATTCCTGCTCCTATAGGTAAATGAGATACCTGTACACACATCTCAAATTCATGGACACAATTCATCCAATGGTCTCACCAGAAATACCAATCTAGTAGGTAAGGTGATAATAACCCGTTCTCTGCGCTCCACCTTTCAACGCTTGATTTCATCCCGCTCTTCGTGGGCAAATCAACCTCATAGCACCACCACGACCTTTGCCTGTGTTTATAATTCTTTTTCTTTAACACTAGCACCCTTTCCTGACAGGACGCTCAAAGAACCCCCCCCCCGCCTTGCAAATGTTGATCCATTTTCTTCTGCACCTATATGCACAGAGACTGTATTAACATCCATCAAAAAAAAAAGTCAGTGGGACCAACATCTTTCCTGTTTCCACCATCCCTTCAGATGTCTGCGCGCTTTCCAACGAGGTCACCTAATACATTTTGCTTTTTTGCACGACTTATTTCTTGTGAGTGTAAACTAGGAATATGCCCGATACGGAATATGCATATATCTCAAACGACATTAACATCTGGGCCGTTCAGAGCGCTATACTCAAAAAAATATGATTGGTGTCAGAGGTGCTCAGGTATCCTATCGTCCACTAGTAGATTTCATTGCACTGACAAAGTCACCCACTTTTTGATACCAAATATCGGTTCATTGCTCGAAGGCGATGAGATGAGAACAATATAGAAGTAGACGACGTAGACGTGTATGCGAAAGAGATACGATCTGAGACTTTGCTTCGAGGTTTTTCTGTTCAACTAACTGGTCATCTCAGTTCTACATATCTAGTGAGATCTCGAGAAATTTGCATGATATGAGAATCCGCTTGTCATGTTGCGATTTAGGTGGCTTGCTCACGAATCTGGTCTGCCGGCGAACACTGGAATGTATAATTATCTACACTGTGTGTAATGCCTTCTTTCCTGTTCATATAGAGCGTTTTACAAAGCGATGGTTCAACAACAAAGAGCGTTGAATTAGAAATAATACCTGTATCACCTGTCGTCCAGTTTATCATCGTTTTCCTCAGGCGAGCGCCAGTAACGTCTACCTTCGTCCCTATCGATAGCTCGAGTGGTCCAGTGGATCGTCTTCGCTTCAGGGACCCGAGGCACAGCGATCCTTTCGCTCGGAGCTTTCGAAAAGAAGTCTGACCATTGTGCTGACAAACTTTCTGATGTTCCTTTGACGTCTCGAGAGATCCAGTCAGTAACTGCCCGGTGCAATGGTAAACTCAGTATCGCATTACTTGTACGGCACATCTGCTCTTCAATTTCTTGGCCTAATCAACGGCATCCATGATCTTCATTGAATGACGGAGCTCGCAACTTTGGATTCCCTTGCGCAATTGCGTGTGTAGAGGAAATAATTCCCAGCTTCATCCTTCTCAAAGCGCGCTGAGCGACGCTGACAGCATGTTCATGCTGCTGTCGTGAAGTCCAAATTTTCGAAGCGCTCGTCAAAGCAGGAAGAACCACTGCTGAAAAGGTGAGCGCTGAGCTGATTGTTCTTATTACTTTTCACTACTCCCTCGGTCTTTTTGGATTCATAGTTCACGATAATTTTGAGGTGCTCATTTGCCAGGGTGGCAAAGAAAGTGAAAAAATTCGTTGACTTTGCAAAATGGGTTTCAAAATAGTAGAAACCGGGGCTGCACGAGGTCAGCATAGGGGGAGTGGCGTGAACGGAGTGTTTGGACGAGTTTCCAGTTGTTGCGATTGCGTAAAGCTGGCTAGATTAAACTAAAAATGACCAAAACTACCTTTCACCGTTGTCACAGTTTACGTTTGGTTCTTTTAATTTCTAGCACGAGAGCCTCTGAGAAGGTGCAGCCTTTACGGAGCTGTTGAAACCCGTCCGCTATAGGTGTGGCAATTATAAGATACAATTTCTGAGCCCTTATGAAGGCCTATGGGCCATTTACCAATCTTACTGCGATAGATATGGTATACGGGCACGTCATAGATTCACCCTAGGCGAATACCACACAACCGTTTCATCGTGAACTAGGCCGTCAAATGCTCTCCACGCGGCACGATTCCTTCCCCTCTGCTCCGGTGCTGAATCATGTCATCATGCTGGCTTACCGATCTAGACAATCAAATTTAGCATTCGGACATATTTGTTCCCTCAAGCGTAAAGGGAACACCATGTTCCCATCCGTTTCTCAAGAACATCGTTTTTGTCAAGTTCAATCTTGGGCCGGTCCTTCCACAGACACTGTTTAATTCGATCAGTTTCGTTCCGCCTGCTCGATATCCGGTGTTCTAAGCATTATGTCGTCTGCAAAACGGAACTGATATAACTAGCGGCCATCGATCTTCACTCCGGAGTCTTCCCATTCCGAATGGCATGGTTTTCTGCCAGCGGCAGTGAAAAGTTCGGGCAAGGTATCGGTCGCCGGATCTTTTTCTTCACTTTGATAATGACTTCCATGTAGAGAGGCGAAGATCTCTACGTGAGATTGTCGTAGACTCACGAAGTGTCCTTATGTATTGAACAAGATCCCCTGGTTGCCTAGGGCTTCAACTGCTGCAAGTGTCTCAACCGTATCAACTTCTTTTTTCAATCGATGAAAGTCAGACATAACGGCATCCTGTGAATGATTCTTGTAGAAACGTATATGTGATCGTTCATACTGAAACTTCCCGAAAGCATGCTCGCTTGTATGGCTGTTGTTCATCTTATTTTCTTTCAGTCCTATTCAAGATGATGCTTGTGAGAAGCTAGTGGTTTGTATCGCGTGAAGAGTTTGGCAAGGGCTCTTACGACAGCTGGTGATATACACCTTAGATAAGCTGGTTTGACCCATCGAGACCGGGCGCTGTACAATTCTTCATTCTTGTGATGGCATGTCGAATTTTGAAAGGGAGAACCGAAGGAGCGATATATTCATCTTGCCTAAGATGGCGACAAGGCAGGTAGACGTGGCTGTCGAAGAAATCCGAGTACAGGTCGTAAATGACCTTCTCCATTGCCCTTCGAGATGTAACAGTTCCGTCAGGACGACGTAGTATATCATCTTGGTCCTATAATCGACGAAGCTCCGGCAGGCTTTGCGAATGCTCCTTCGAGCCTCAGCGGCTTCGTCCATAACTTCTGCTCTTCCTTCTTTCAGATTTTCCTCTATCGCTTCTCTGCATAGCTTCGCAAGTTCGGACGTTTGATAATGATTGCCTAAAGCTCGCACGATTCCACGCTGGCGCATCAGCTCGCGAGTTTTTGAAGAGAGTCATCTCTCAGCCACTTGTAAACTCTCTGCTCTCCTAGCACTGTTGTGGAGATGTTCGAGTCGGTTGTATACTTTATCGATGTTGTCAGTAATGGAATCTTCCCATTCACCCGCAAGGGAAGCAAAGTGTTCCCAGTCGATGTCGTGTCTTAGGACTTAGTTCCCCGAAATTCAGCCTTCTCTCAACGCACTTAGAGACAGAATCTAGCGCGAATTAGACAATGGTTCGATCCCGTTAGAATTCCAGAATAACAGCGACCAGTCAGGGAAAACTTTCGATTGAAGATGATGTGGTTCATTTCATTATGGGAAGGCCTACCAGGTGGCTCCCATGTTCATCGCAAATGAGAGGGTTTCTGGAAATGCGAACTGCCGACGATGATCACGAAGAAAGTGTGGTCCTCTTTAAGAGGCTTTCCATGCCCATATGAAGGATTCCAGATTCTCTCCCTGGTAGCTTCATAAGGGTGCCTAGGCAACGAAGATTGTTAAAGGTGGTGTTAGGTCACATATTTCCTTACAAAGGCCGGCTCGGCTTGTCAAGCTCTCATATGAATCGCTGTTCATAGGCAAGTGTGTGTTGACAAGGACACCTACACCACCGACGCCTCTGCTATCACATGTTCCAAGTTACAGTTTCTCTTTAGTTTCTCCACAAAACGGCGTGCCCGGTCAGTTTGATGCGGTCTTCTTAGCGTGATTTTCCTAGCTTGCATCATCAGTTCTTCGATACACGCTTCCGATGCAAGCGTCCGTGCGTTAAAAATACAGATAGCCATCTCCGTCCTAGTTTTAATCAGCCCGTTTTGGCCTTGAGGTTCTAGCAGCCTCTCGCGAGCTGTCATATCTAGTGCTGCTGTATTAGAGGTTCCCTCAGGTTCAGGGGAACAAGGCCCATTTATATTACCGTTTTTGGTACGTGCATAAACATGAGCAGCTTTCCACATTCTAATGTGGGTCTATGTTTACTCCGGGTGCTAGCCAGCTCTTCGAATAAGGGGATGATGGTTTTGTTCTTGGAGTTCCAAATCGCCTCCCACATCCCTTCCAGTCACTCGGCAAGCTTTTGACTGGGTCGATGGGCAGGATACCAATGGCATCCACAGGCTCTCACAGGTATGCGTGGATACAGATGTGAGATACGGAAATTATCGACGCTGCACTGCAGAAACAGGAATTCCTTCGCTTGAATCAACCTGCGACTGGAAAATATAGTATATGGTCTACCCCACAAAAACAGGTAGTTTAGCACATCGCAAAGATTGCTTAATTCCACTTCATAGACGACATGCTTTAATGTGGTCGACCTGTGAAATTATTTAGTAAGTACTACGAACACATATGAGCTTCCCTGATCTGTTGTGTACTGTTGAACTTGCCCTAGACCCGACCCCTTTCAAACTTGGCGTGACTTCTGAAAGTATCTTTTCAGTTTATACTAAATTTCGTGTTAGAACCACCGACTATCAAACAGACAGACATAAGCGCTCAACATATACATATGCATTGTTGTTCAATGTAATGTTTTACAGATGAACTACGAGCTGGATTTGGTAAATAGAGATATTGAGAAGTTCCAGTCAAAAATGGAAGGATTGTTCATCGGTGAAACGGTTTTTGCCCGGTCCGTTTCTCAGCACTCTGTATAATTCTCTATCACGATCTGTTCTGATATTCTGCGTGTGCTCGATTTGTGGGATTCAGCTCTGGCCCGCAATATCCAACCCCATAGATATTCGAACTGATTTTAACTGTACCAGGTGGGTTATGCGCGCCAACGCGTGCATTGAAAATCCACGACTGCTCATCTGTGATGGAGCGATTCAGCGGGATATTTAAAGTATCTGAATGAGATGGTTGTCTCTGTTGTAGATTCGAACGCTGGGCATCCGCTAGTTTTTATTAGCAGAATTAGTAGTGGTTGATTATAACCCCGTCCACTTCAGTGCAGCCTTCCTACAATAAAAGTCCGACCACCCCTCTTTTAGTCACCCCTAGCCATTTTCATTGCATATAGGAACCTTTTCAAATAGAGTTATGGTTTTTCAATCTTACCCTCGCGTATCCTACAAGGGAAGGATACTTGGTCGCAGTGACCATTCAAGATGAGATGTATACCCCCGTAGGTGGTTTCGAACGCTGATCTCAAATCTG